TTTTTCGATCCCCACTGAGGTATTTTGAACATTTTTATTTTTTTTTCTCTCTGGAAACTTTTTTTTTTTGGGTGTGTTTAGAGCCGCGTAATTTCGTCATTATTTCTTTAGACCCCGTTGTCTATATTCAGCGTATGCAACCAGGTTGCTAAATACCGGGATGTGTTTTTTTATTGCTCGTACCAACTGGATCTTTGCAAAGCTTAATGAACCCCGTGCGCCTCATCACGTTCGTTTCTGCGATCAAAGCCCTTGTGCGGGCAGGCTGCGGGCAGCTCCGTGCTGCCCGGCGGGGCAGGGCTGGCGGGGCACCATGGCAATGGATGCGGAAGGGTTGTAGCCTTACAGGATGTTACCGACCTTAAATCAAAGTCCCGGGACGGTAAGAGCGAAAACCTGGTAGCTGTCCAAGAACAAAATCGTTATTTTTAATTGAGTCGAGGTTTTGGAATTTTTTTTCCAATTATTTTTTTTTTCTTCTTTCCAGTGGTTTCGTTCTGTGTAAATTAGTGGAGGTTTTAAAACCTGCTCATTATGATTGACTAGCAGGAGGACATACAGCAAATAATGTCAGGTCTTAGCGAAAGAAATACGGTAACCTGGGTTTGGAGAGCGGTGTCCCAGCGACGACTTGTCTTTTCCCGATTGTTTTTTTTTCTTTATATATATATATATTTCTTTATATATATATATATTTCTTTATATATATATATATTTCCTTTTAACTTTAATTATTTCAGAGCTTTGGCCAGGAGCAGGGGGTCTCATCCCAGAAATGCTCTGCCCGGAGAGTGCCTGCCGGGCACCAGGGGCCCGGGGATCTCACTTCTCCTCCCCAGTCACGGATATTAAGTTTCTCTTCCCATTTCGTTCCCCAGTCCGAAGATTTGTCTTGCTAATAACTAAATCTCAGTATGACGGCTCGCTTTCGTGCCAGGCTCAACACCCCCCTCATCCCTTCGATGGCAGGTTTCTCGGCGCCCCGTTTTCGGACACCCCTTTCCTCGGGGATATCCTCAAGCCCATGTTTTTATGCTTCCCTCCAAGTCCCTCTCCCGCCTCAGTGGCACCGGGGTTATCGGAATTGTCTCTTGTCAAACTTCGCGTAGATTTGGGTGTAAATTCAGGTAATTTGAGCTCTACAGACAACTGTTACCTTCCTATTTGGCAGAATTAAATCAAGCAACTTAAAATCTCGTCGTTAAAACCACCAAACACAAATCCTCGGCTCGCTGGGTGTCTGTTGGTACTTTTATTTTTCCCGGCACATCAGGAATTATTTAAAATATAGAAAGAAGCGAAGAATCACCTCCTTTTAGCAGAAGATCAAGTAGTGTCATTAAGCAAAGAAGTTCAGAGAGTCGGGAAGAGTTGGGATATGGCTGTTAAAAAAGCAGGAACAACTTTTTTTTGGTGGTTTTTATTTTTTCCTTCTTTTTATTTTTCTTCTTTGATTTTTCTTCTTTGTTATTTTCTTTCTTTTTTCTTTCTCTCTCTCACCCCCCCCGCCCCCCCTCTGTTTTCACTCTTTCTCCCCAGAGGTAACCGCCCTTTGGGCTTGAGACCGCTGCTTCTATTCGGCTTCTTGCTCCTCCGGGGAAGCCCCCGATCCCCGGTGCTGCTCCTGGACGGTGCCGGTGAGACGGGGGGGGGTCCCGGCTCCGGGGCCATGCCTACACCAGCTCTGGGTTAGGCGGGGCGGGGCGGAGAGCCGCTGGCAGCCCGCTTCAGATCTGCTTCCCAAGCTAGTTCTCGCTTCCGGGAAAATGAGTGGTTACTGGAAAATATTCAAGTTGTTCGGATGGAAACTTTCCGGTGTGTTGGAAATACGGGAGGACAGCGGCGGGAATGACACCAAAAGTAACTTCTGGCTGCCTGGAACGCACGAAAGACTTTCAGGACCTGTTAGCAAATGACAGTCACATCCACGCCGCTCCGCTGAAATCGAACCGCCTGTGTCTGGGGGGATTTCGGCGTTGTCTTCCCTCTCAGTCCCCGGGGAGCCCGCCATGCACCCCGCCCGGCCCGTGGGGCGCGATGCCGCCGAACTGCGCTCTCCGTGCGCTCACGCTTCCCCGCGGGGCAGCGGATTTTCACCGTATGCGGCCGGTGTTCGTTTTCCCCCGCTCCCCTCCGTGTCCCTTGGCCGCCCTGGGCCGGGCAGAGGGACCGGGCGCTGCACGGGCACCGCCGCCGCTGCCACCTGCGCTGCGCTTCCCAGCCGGGGCCGGCGCTTCGGCGGGGCCGCGGCTGCTTCCAAGTCATTAGTGCCTCTTCGTTATTATTATTTGTTTTAATTGTTCCTCTGCACCAGCCTCTTATCTTTTCCTCGCAGACACTGGAGCCAGTGAAGCCAGTGGCGTGCAGACGGTTGCGACTCGCAAGATCTAGCGTTTCCCCTCCTCTCCTCTAAACGCTGCAGTTAAAACGCTGGTGGTGTGAGGGTGATTCTCCTCCAGCTGCTGCTGCTGGTCAGTATTTACCACCAGACAGTCATTTATCTCCCGGGCCCAGAATATTTATTTGTCTATTTGTTTGTTTATTTAGTTATTTTCCTGGAGAAAAATGCGAAAGAGATTTGTGTCCGGCCATTTTCTACAAACTTGACACCCGAGTTGCGGATTTGTCAGCGCTCGGAGTTCCATGGTGGAGCTGGAGAGTTGCTGGAGTTTCCCTGCGCCCGCAACCCTATGAACACGACAGCTGGGCTGCGAAGCTACCCGAGGGTTCCATTCACAGAGCTCTCAGCTGCTTCTCCTGTCTGTGTCGTGGTGGCAGCGGCGGTGGCTGTCCCGGGACACGATCAACCCTGCCCGTGGCTCTGGGACTGTCATTTAGGGGGGGTGTGCTGGACGAGCTCCCCTTGTCGTGCTGCCTGGCCGGTGGTACGCGGGGTCCAGGCTCGCGCGAGGCCACCCGGGGGATCTGTGGGAGGAAGATGGATCCTCACGGGATCTGAGACAGTGCTGGGACTCTGGGACTGCGCTCGAGCAATGATGGGACCGTTGGGATGGTGCTGGGGCTGTCCTGGCACAGCCTGGGACAGTGCGGGGATAACGCTGGATCAGAGTAGTGCTGGGACAGACTGGGACTGTCCTGGAAGTTAGGATAGTGCTGGGACATCCTGAGATGGTACTGGGACTGTCCTGGAACAGTGCTGGAATAACGCGGGAGAGTTAGGATAGTGCTAGGGCAGTCTGGGGCTGTCCGAACAGTTGGGATGGTGCTGGGACAGCTGGGGCAGTGGTGGGCAGGCTGTGAGAGAGCAGCGCCAGGAGGGGTAAGCAGCCGGGCCGGGCCGGGCCGGGGGAGAGGCACGACAGGCACGGACGGGCAGGCAAGGACGGGGGCAGCTGCCTGTGGCACCGCCGCCGCACCAGGGCCCGGGCCGCGGAGGGGTGGATTGGGGGGGACACCCGCTCTCCCGACCACATCCCTCCGGGCGCCGCGGCGGAAGGTCCGTGCGGGAAGGGCCGGCGTGCGGGAGCTGGCACCGGGCTCTCCCTGCAGCTCGCTCCGGGCTCCTCACAGCCACCCGCAGCCTCTCCGCGCTCTCCGGTAACACGGGGCTGCCCTACTGTCTGTTTGACGCATCCCGCATCTCTTCCATGTACAAATCAGTGTCTAGCCTAGAGCTCAGAAAGGCGGCAGATAGATAACCTCGTTCCCGCCTGGCTTCTCTACGGCTGCAGCCGGTACACTTTGTGGTCTCCTCCCTTGTTTTGGGGGGATTTTTCCCCTCCCGGAGGACATCCCCGGCGGCTCCCCCCAGCTCGATGGTGACCCGACGTGCTCCCGCTAGCAGCCCTTGTTCCCCCCATTCCCTTGTGGTGGCAGAATCGGGCCCGTCAGCTGGAAATTAAAGGGAAAAATAAAAACAACCCAAAACTCTAATGAACCTCTTTTTTCTTCTTCTTTTTTTTTTTGTTTTGTTGTTTTGTTTTGTTTTTGTAATTATTTTTTTAAAAGCAGAGTTATGTTTGCATCTCAGCTGTGGCCTTTTAGAGTTCCCAAGCAAGCTGAAAGCTATTGGAGTACCTTATGTACCCTTAAGTGGGGGACAACAGTTCCAGGGGAATAGACTTACTACATAGAGTTATACATACTTATATCAACGATATTGATACTCATCTGTTGAAACTGACAATTACTTGCACTCTGGAATGCTGGTGTCTCTGAAAAAATACTTTATTCATTACTTTTGCTTAGAGATATTCTTTCTTAGCCATGTACATTTATCAGACCAAATTAATTAAAGATACGTGTTTCCTGCGGTCCTACAGGACAACTTTAACCACCAGTGAAATTCTACTTGACTTGGCAATGTAACAGTGGGGATTTGACTCATAAAGATGTAAATTAAGAGTAAATAGAGAAAAAATGTTTCTTTGCATACATCTGAACGTCTATTTCCTCATTTTAATAGATTAATTAATGTTACTTCTTTATCATAAATTAATAAGTGCTTTTGGGGGAATTCAGGGAAGAGTAACCAAAATGATTAGCATGCTAAAGGGCTAATATATGGAGAAACACCTGTGTATGAAAACACCTTGCAAATGAAAAGAGTTTGGGTAATGACACGTGTTTGGGGCCAGGGAGATTTGCAGCATGCAAGAGTAATAGTAGCGCTCCTGCTGAGGTGCTCACTCATACTAGCAATGCTCAGTGCTTAAGGACAACCATAGGTTCCAGCCTAGGCTTCAAACTGGTTTTGAGTCGTTGCTTCAAGGTGTGTAAACTCTAGAGAGAAATCAGATTTCAGAAGCTTCACACACCTGACCTATCGTGTCCTCTTACTCAGCGTGACTTAATGTGCAATGAGTATTTGTCACTCTTCTGAGAGTCCAGATTTTCTCATGTATTTCACAGCAAATTGAAGCACTTGATTTGGGACTTTTTGTATCCTATCTTAGAGGCTAGGTCCCTGAAGTCTGTATGTGGTAGCATCTAGCTTACAGGTACCATACCACTTATATTTCTTTTTCCTTATATTACAGTCATTCTTCTCCACAAAGAAACAAATAATCGTGGGGAAAAACATCTAAAGGAGAAGAATGTCCCCTCAGGATCAGCATTTCTTCACTTCAACAGGTATTTTAAAAATTCTTTTTATCAGCTGTAACACCCTGTTTTTGTTCGCATGTTGCCTACTTGGCTTATAAACTTACATGGATAAGATAATCTCTGGGGAGTCCAGAAACCATCTACATTATAGCACTTCTGTATACTGACTTACAGTGATTATGGAGAATTGTAGCATGCTTATAAAATGTCATACTCACATCATAGCCAGGATGGCCTAAGGGTGTAAACAAGGCAGATAAAGCTACAAAACCTTATAGGAAGTCTTGTTAGTTGTTAAAAGAATTTCAGTGTAAAATGATACAGAGAAAGTATTTGCTCATCACAAAATAATTACCTTATTAAAGGCAGTTTGGCTTTTACTACAGTTCAAGTGACTCAACTGTGTGTGGTACTATAAAAACTGTAAGTTAACACAATCAACACATCTTTGTATAGAGCCTTGCTTTCTACCTGTAACACACAACCTTTTCTAGGACACATTGGCTGTCTCTGGTACAGCTTTTGGGAAATGGAGCAGCAACACCTAATTCACTGTCCAGAAGCACATTTGGATCAGAAACTCAGGCAAAGTTTTCCACATGAAAATCTCATCCATCTGAGAACATACTGAGTTACTTGGTGCTTGGGGAGCTCAGATGGGACCGTAGGCCCGGATCCCCAAATGTCACCTGGGATCCTTGGGCATCTGACTCCTATTTACATCTTTCTTGTTGGGTGATAGGAGGTAAGTATCTGAGTAGCTTTAGATTTTGAGCCTCATTCTCTTATTAGGCATTATATCAAAGATCTGTCATTGCACCTGTAAATGTACATTTACTAGGAAATAACCTGGACAAGGATATCCTGCTTCCAGTGAAGGGATTTCAGCTGTTCTGGTCTAGTGTTCTGCACTGCACTGTTAGAGAACTGCACTCCATTTTGTAATTGGCAGGAGGTGAGATTACTGCGTTAAGTAAATCTCTTAGTTCCTGAGGATAGGAGAGAAATATCAGTCTGTTGAAAAGGACCTCCAAGGTTAATCCCATGTAACTTCATTTGGAAGGAAAAAGAAGAAATCTCAGAAACATTGCAAGAATGTATAGGAAGGGGAAAGTGAAAAAAAGTGGGGTGGGAGGGCACAGCAAGAAAGAGAAGAGGGAAGCATAGGTCTGAGTTATCCAGGGTCATATATAAATTGATGTATATCCAGGAAATGTACATAATGCTCTCAAAACTTGTAAGTAATATGATGATAGAAAGAATTGTAGGTGAGGTATATTCTCATGAGTGTGGGTAGTCAGAAGTTTTGTGCTTGTCTTCAGTAGAAACTAGTTTCAGCTGCACTAGAGCCATTCACTTACACAGTGCCACTTAGAGGACTTACCTGAGAGCAGTTATCTTCAAAATAATTTGGAGGAATAAATGGCTTTTCACTGTTGTCATAATTAAAATGGTTATTTTCATTACATTTATTCATTTATTTATGAATGTGGACGGCTACTGCAGGAGCAGGTACACTATGTATACTGTAATACGTGTCTCACTGACTGGCCTATCTCAGCCTCCCAGGAAAATCAGCTGCATGCTCACCCCATGCCAAGTTTGAGTGAAGAAATCGGCATTGTGTAGTCTCCCAAAGCTCAACAGATTGTGGGTCAGTCCAGGGCTTCCTATCAGGCAGGAAGCAGTCTGCAGAGGGGCCTTCCCGTAACAATGAATGGCTTCCCTGAAGCTGTCACTGAGGAATTGCAATTTACAGTACTCTGCCTGAATGTGTTATCACACAGGAGGCAACTATGTGGAAATAGTTTAAAATATATGGATTACTGATATCACATGCATACTCATGCTAATTATATTGGCTGATTGAAGAAACAGGGCAAAGCTAATTAGCAGAATAAGGTTTTTGAACAGAACATTTTTGAACGTTCTACTGCCAGAATTGCTGCCCTCAAGGAGCTTTCTAGAATACATACATGCACTTGCCACCTTGCTACAGAAGCTGTCTACTGGAAAAGTCTGTGGTCATCTCTACTCCTTCCTTTTGGAGCCCTCGTCTCTGAGGAAGGAAAATAAGCATGTCATATGAAAAAACCCCAAAGTTTGGGCTTGATATTTTAACTTCCCTTTGCAAGGCAGCTGCTGCATTTGCACATGTGGGAATCTAGTGAGCCATACAATCTTAGGCTGAGGATTTCTATTCACTAGGGATTAGCTGAACTGTTTTCCTAAATCAGTCACCAGATCTGGATTCCAAATTAACAAAGTGGTGCTGAGCCATAATGTAGACGCTAGGTAGCAGCTGTGCAAATTTATTCAATGAAAGCATTATAAAAGCAGGCTGTCTAACTGCCTTAGCTTTAGTGCAGTGAACTCTGAGAACTAGCGGACTTACTGAATTTATAACAAGTAAAAAACTCAGGTTCATTCAGCTCCAAGGATGCTGAATGAGAAATGCTGGTTGTTGCACAATTATTCTTAAGCACAACTACTCACAACACAATGTTTAGGAGATGCAGAATGACTGCATTCTAGAAAACAGTGTTAGAAAGGACCTTATTGAACCTCTCCCTATGCACTGATGACCCGCTGTCTTTTCCATTTGTCAAGCCTGTGCCTAAAGACATCCAGGGTGTCTTGCTTTCAGCTTTAAGTTATTTTTTCTTCTTCCTAGTAGCTGGTGCAGTGCTGTTTTGGCTTTATTCTGAGAATAATGCTGATAACACACCAATGTTTTAGTTGATGCTAAGAAGTGCTTACTCTGATCAAGGACTTTTCAGTTTCTCATGCTCTGCCAAGGCAGAGGGGCACAAGAAGCTGGAAGGAAGCAGAGATACGACACCTAATGCAAACTAACCAGAGCGGTATTCCATACCACAGCACGTCATGCCCACTATATAAACTGGGGGGAGTTACCCTGCAGGGCAGACTGCTGCTTGGGTCAGGCTAGGTATCAGTCAGCGGGTGTTGTCCAACAGTTGTTGGACTGTTCTTACCTCAACACATGTGGTTTACATTCTTTCGATTCTCCTCCCCACCCCCCTTGGAGGGGAGGTTGGGAGGCGGTGAGCAAGCGGGTGTGTGGTTCTGAGTTACTGGGTGGACTTAGACCATGATACAGGGATGGAGATTTCATACACACCACCACCACCCCCCCCAGCCCCATGCAATCCGTGCCAGTGTTTAACTATCCTTCATATTGGAGGTCTTGGTGTGTTTTCTGTAGTCATCTATAGACTAAACCATGTCAATCCTTTTGCTTTTTCTCCATAGGTGTCATGTTTTTTTGACCTCTGACAATTCTTAACCTCTCTTTTCTGGACTCCATCCAATTCCTCTTTTGACATATCTCAAACTAGACTCAGTATTCCAGCTAAGAGTTGGCTGCTGTGTGCAGATAACTCAAGTCTCCTGAAGGCTGTCTGACTCTTTATATATCCCACTCTGGGGTTAGCTTTCTTTTTTCACTTAAATGCAGCAGTGTAGTTGATTATATCCTGGCTGTGCTCCCCTCTTTTCCACAGGGCTGTTGTCTTACTAATTCTTGCCTAGCCTGTATTTGTGCAATGTGAAAGTGCAGGACTTTGTATACTCTGTATTGATTTGGCACCTACTTTTAAGACTGTTTCTCCAATTTGTCAAGGTAATCTGAATTTCAAACCTATCTTCCAGTGAGCTGGCAAACTATTAGCATGGGGTTATCTGAAGTAATGAATAAGCATAATTTATCTTCTCTCATTCAGGTTGTTAATGGAAATACTGAGAAGCTCTAAATTTAGCTCAGATTCCTGGGGAATCCTGGTTTATGCATCCTTTCATTTCAATAACTAACCATTTAGCTAAGCATTGGTAAATGCTTTTAGTGAATGACTTCCCAGCCAGTTTGTACTCATCAAATGCTAGTTTCCTATAAACTGTATTTCTCTGTCTTAGGTAGAAGAATAATACATGTCAGTATAAAAAACAGTCAAGATATGACACCTCCTGCTTCTCCCATCTGTTATCCTGTTGCAGAAGGAAACTAGATTAGTATGTCACTACCTAGTCTAGTAATCCACAAAAGACTGTATAGATTTAATTCAAACCTTTATGAGGCCTGAAACAGCAGTTCTCAAACTATCACCTCAAGCAAAGGCACTGCCTATAAAGGGGGGCATCAACCTGACAGAAATCAAACCAAAGAAGTGGGGCTTACAAGCTGAAGTACTTCTGTCAGGGTAGATGTGCTGTCACAGTCTGTGCAGTGGGGCTGCTAGAGCAATCTGATGTGAGACACCGCCCTAGAGCCTTTTTCCATTCATCTTTTCTGCAAGTGCCTATGGTGTCTTGAGACACTAGTGTTTGAGCCAAGTGACATTCAGACACCCTTTGTAGCAAAAGATAAAGAAACAGTTGGATCTCTGGAACACACTCAGAAAAAAATAAACCATTAAAATATGACTTTCATTTGGATATGTAATGATATGTAATGACTTTCATTTGGATATGAAGCTGTCCTGCAGAGGGACAGGGGAAATACAATAAGCAGCCAGAGATCTGAAACCTACAGTCATTAACTCGATTATCCTTACAGGGCATGCCAAGATCAAACCAGGATTAGGAAAAACTTGATGCTCATTATTCATCCTTACAGGTGTACAGCATAAAACATGTCACATCACACCCCTTTATAGTCAGAAGAGATAAGCAGGTACTTCGAGTCCATAATTCATCTAGTCTGTTTTAGAGAGGAGTTGTGCCCCATTTGTGCAGAGCACGATCTGACAGGTCAGGTGTAGACATCTGTATTTTGTATGTCAAATGTTCAGTTATACATTTTTTGCTTTTTGAGTCACATACATAATGAATCACTTCTGGTCTCTTACTCCTTGTGGAGGGAGGGACAATATCTCTTCACTGGGGATGTACCGTTAACCTAAATTTTAGGAAAGCTTGATATCAGCAGAGCACTATTAAAATGTACAATATTTAATGCCTCTAGTTATAACCCCAAATATAAGCATAAGCTTTTAATCTGCATAGATTGC